CATTGCTACGCCCACTGGTCACTCTCCTTCCATCTTTGCATTGGCCAAGAAGTGATTAGCCTCTCCTCTGCAGCCATTACTTCTTCTTGTCGCCAAGCAACCCTGTATATCGATCGTCGATTCGCAGCACGTTCCGTCTGAGCGTATTCCGGATTCTCGAGCTACCAATTTAGTGGAGTCTTCGCCTCACAAAAGCTTTCTTCACTCTGCTCCCATCACCTCACCGCCCAGCATGACCAACACGTCTGAGGCACCGAAATGGTTCCGAAAAAAGGCACAGCTGAACGTCAGTTGTCATGAGGAAGCCTGCCGCTTTTGAACACAGCTATAAGCAAGAATCATGCCAGAGATGTGCATTTTGCTATCACTAACGAGCCAGAGATCGTTGTGCATGGCTTTCCTCATGAGTTTAAGGGTTCTCTATTCTAGGCCGCCTCCACCGTGCTTGTTGCCCTCGGCTTGGGGGGGGGGGGGGGGGGGGGGGGTCACGCCCTCTCCCCATTGATCGCCGCCCGATAATGAAACCTTGCTGCATCCTCTCGTGCGATGGACGCCAACATTACCCCTCAGCAGAAGCCCTCGATAGCAGCAATCAACTCAACTCCCGCCATTCCTTTGCCTTCCTGGTGGACTCACCTTCCGTACGCAATGGAATTCTACGCTATTTGCCGCGTTTAAAGGAGCATTTTGCCTTCACCATTTTTGAGTGTGGCGGTACCTCCAAGGTTTATCTGCGCCCTATCTGACCAAAGCCGGTCTTCAATCTTTTCGTTAATGCAAGAAGAGCTACCGCCAACCTTGGCTATGCGTGGCCAATGGTTAGAAATCTACGTGTTTTCTATAGAGCCACTCTGCACTCCGATCCTATCCCAATCTTAATTGAAACCGATCTGAACAAACTCCCAAATTCCAATCCTGTTCCCCCACAGCTCATGAGTTTCCACAATCTTCCCCGCTCCCGCAAAATAGCCAGGGCCCGCTCTGACTCGTCAATAAAGTCCCTCATCATGTGGCCTCTGATTCTCATTAAATCCCACATATTTTTATCGCACATATAAACATTAACGGCTTTAACGTTCCCTGGCACTTTGCCCTTCTTGAAGCAAAGATGCAACTCAACCATTATGACCTAGTGGACATTTTCGAGACCAAACTTTCTCATTTAATCCCAGAGGAACACCTCTCCCTATCTAATTTTAACTTATAATGTCACCATTACGTCCTCCAGACGGCTACACACGCCCTCATCCAGAAGAACCATCCGCGTTTAATATACCCGGCCGACGCCTCCCAGCGAGGCAGCCTAGAGCATTGTAAACTCCCTTCAGACGGGAAAACAATACTCCAAGCCATAAGCATTCGGGTGTTTCCGTCCCTCTGCTATTTTTCCCGAGCCTTAGGGAATTGTTCCTCTGACTCCCCCTTTGAGGATGACCATTCACGTAGTCGACTGATCGTCAGACCGAGTCTTAGTTACCGTACCGATTTACCCCCTCTTTCTGCGGGTAGAGTGAGGCCCGATCAAGCACCACAAGTCGTTAACAACGATTGGTGTGTAATACCCGATCCTTGGTGTGGTTAGTCTCTTGTAGCTAGGGGAGCTTTACCGAATTCTCAGTTATGTATCAGCCGGTCTCTTTCCTTTGTTACAGTGACGTACTGGATAAGTGAGAACCCTCTATTTCTTCTGTATAACAATAAAGAGCTTAATCCTTGTCTGTCTAATCTCTGCCTAATTATTTAACTAAGCCCGAATCATCCTCACAGAACTAATAGCAGTCCAAGAGGATTCACAGTTGTAAGGATTACCCCGTGCGTGGAGATATGCTGCATTAGGCATGCCACCTCTAGTACATGTCTATCTATAGCCAATATAAAGATATTTGATGATTAAGCCTATTGACAATAACACTATAAAAAATATAACATTTGCCTTAATGGTAATGTAAAAATAATATCATTTATGAAATCTTCATGTAATACCACTAGTTTCTTATTTATATTATTAAATAAAAACGAAAAGTAATAAATTACCACAAGGGATTTTACTGTCTGATAGTGTTACGTCGAGAATTTTAAAATATTTAATTTCCCTTTTTAATCTCGAAAATATCCTTAATTTACTAGGAAAATTGATCTAGAGCGAGCGAAGCTACGCAGAATTATTGAAAGGAAAAACCTGTCATGGCGGGTTAATACTTCGTCACCTTTGGCTGGTAGATTCTCCTATGATTTGTCAAAATGCAGTCCGGCATTAACAAGAATAGTGGAATGTGCCTAAAGCACTGCCCACAGCTAGTCACACTTCACAAGTCAAGCGGAATGTTTCGGTTCGGGTTGTAACTTCACTAAATTTCATGGTATCGATTTCTTTATTATTACTACGCTTTCAATCTTACAAAAGAATTAAGCGTTTCGTGTAGCTCGTTACAGTTTCGCTCGCGGTTGCGGAGTGTATGCAGTCTTCTCCGCAATTGAAAAAAAAGACCAGCAATGGCCCGCCCAATGGCGTAATAATCAATGTCACCGGCCAATGGGCTAATTGCTCATTGAGCTTCGCGAAGTCGTCCCCTATCCTATTCAGCAATTCTCACAAGAGCGTGAGAGAGGGGGAATGTCTTTTGTCAAAAGGGCATATTAGGTGGAAGGATATACGTGTCTCTCACTCCCCGCAGGAAACGGCATCGACTTAAATACAAATTTCGTCTGGAGGTCGATCCCTATTAAGGTTCCCGAGAGCGAGGAACCGCGCAGTTAGCCGTTTGCGTCAGAGGGACTGAAAGTCGCACGCAAACTGTTGTATCGGCAACATTTCAGCGTATGATGTCTGACTTGCATGGGACGTAACAGATAGAAAACTCACTAATGCAAAATGCTTTTAAGCCATAGTAACTGTATTTCTAAAAGTAATAAAGTGATAGTCAAATGAAAAAAATATCCGTGAGATACAGTTATTAGGTAAAGATTACAGGAAAGCAAAAAAAAATTAACTTGATGTATTAAAACCTATTAAGAAATTTTTAATAATTTTTTTCCAACATTCAGCAATTGTCAGGTCTTTAAAAGATTCATTTTCTATTTTAATCGTTACATTTGATGGGATTTCGAACAATTATGCACGGATTACGTCAATAAGTCTTTACAAAAAAAGGAAACACAAATCTTTGCGGATGTAATTTTTTTTATTTTTCAACATAATCTCCTTGAAGGTCGATACATTGTATTAAACGGCCTTCCAGTTTTTTAAGCCATCAGAAAAATATGATATCTGAAAATCATCAAAATAGGCATTTGTTTCAGCGATGACTTCTTCATTCGACGTGAATCGTTGTCCGGCAAGCCATTTTTTGAGGTTAGGAAATAAGAAAAAGCCACTAGGAGCCAAATCAGGCGAAAATGGTGTATGGTCAATTAATTTGAACTTTAAATCGTTAATTTTTGCCATCGAAACTGCACACGTGTGAACTCGAGCATTGTCTTGAAGAAAGAAGCATTTTTTATTGTTCAAGTGAGCACGTTTTTCTCTAATTTTTTTTCACCTAATAATGACGCATAATATTATCCAGTGGTTGTCTGGTCCTTTTCCAAGTAGTCGATGTAGATGATTCCATATGCATCCCAGAAAACCGTGGCCATAATCTTGCCAGCTGACTTTACTGTCTTTGCCTTCTCTAGAGCTGGTTCTCCTACGGTAATCCATTGTTTGGACCGTTCTTTGGTTTCAGGAGTGTAGTGGTGTACCCATGTACAGTTACGAGTCGACGCCAAAAGTCTTCCGGATTACAACCTATGCGTGCCAAAAGAACCTCAGAGGTGACCACGCGGGTTCGTTTATTTTCAACAGTGAGCAAACGCGGCACCCATCTTGCTGATATTTTTTTCATCCCCAATTTTTCATGCAAAATTGAAATGATTGTATCCTTTGATACCCCTGTGGCCTCAACTAATTTTCGTAATTTTAATCTTCTATCAGTCAACACTATATCGTGGATTTTGTTGACCATTTCGGGCGTACTCACTTCTTCGGGGCGTCCTGAACGAGGTTCATCTTTTGTTGTTGTACGGCTGCGTTTAAATTCATTTACCCAGTTATAAAAGTCTTAAACACAGGGGCAGACTTGCCATGACCGGCGTTCAACTCAACTGTGATTTCTTTTGGTGTAAGGCCTTTCAAATGAAAATATTTTATAACCGCTCGAAACTCTGTTTTTTCCATTTTTCAAATAAACCAATAACTTTTTGTTCAACCAACGCTCACAAAAATACGACTTAATGAATCGAGCTGAAACTTTGTACGATATCTAGTTAGTAGTATTGCTTGCCAAAAACATCATAATTTAAGCGTGACGAGGGCCATCTCTTGTATTTTGTAAAGACGTATTGACCCCCCCTCGTAACTATTTACAATTTATTGTGTACGTAGTGTAAGAATTGATTCACACTGATTTACGCCATATAACAATAGTTTATGTGTATAATAAAATCATGCATAATTGTTCGTTAGCCTATAAAATATAAGAATTATTGAAATAGAAAATAAGTTTTTTCAAGACTTGTAGGTATTGAAGTTTTGTGTGAAAATAAAGAATTAATAAAAATATGGTAGTTTGACGGTTTTAAATAATATAATTTGATCTGAATAAATACCAAGGACTTTCAATTTTGTGCCCAATAGTCAACATGTCGTTTTATACACTGCTTTTGTTTTCGGAGCTCAGCAAACAATGAAATTTTATACAAAAAGATGCCGAATTTCGATTTTAAATGTTTACATATTTAATATAATGTAATCGGTACTCATAATAAACGATTTTTTTTTCAACAACTATACTAATTTTCTGTTGTTCATTCTTGCTCAATATTAACCTTAAAAATATAATAATATTTTTATTATTAGGGACAGATTTCCCTAATAATGTAAATATCAATATTCAATGTAATAAAATAATAGTTTTTTAATCAATATTTGAATTTCAGAATTAATTATCAAATTCACTTACATTTCATCGGTAACGAAGACTTGCTCGTGTTCTGAAAAAATAAAAATTATCATAATTCAACTGTAAACTTATGATTGTTAAATAATTGTATAATTTAGCAAACGAAATATAACACAATAAACAAAATTAACGATAAACATAAAGCAAACCAATATATTGTAAATTTTTAATTTTAATCAGTTGTCACATGTGGCTACTCCATAGACCTATGTTGATTCATAACATTCAGTGGCGCTGTCGAGCGCTACGTCGTACTGCGTTGCTTCATATCATCGTACAATGAACCTAATGACTCAATCGCCTGAATGAGTTATAAAAGTAATTCGACTTTTATGTGTCTGTGATCACTCCAACATGCTTGCATAATTGCGTAAAAAAGTACTCAAGGATATAAAATACCTCTTCAAACGACACTCATACACTACTTACATTTCATGTGATTAGCACGAAACCATATACTACGAGGGTAACAGGAATAATATGCCACTAGTACTTGCATCTATTTCCGAACGAATCTATTTACTATAGATTAATCGGGATACGCAATTTTTCTGTCTCCAAGTATACATAAGTGTTAAACAATAAATGAACCTTAAACTTATCTCACTATCTATTTTTCACGCAAATCGTGACGCTAACATCGCCTAGGATTGATTAAATGACAGCCTGGAATGGACACGGGGAAGTCATCATACATGATATTTCTAAAGTCGGGAATGGAATTTAAAAAAAAAATTGTTTCAAGTTTTTTTTTTTTTGAAAAAAAAAATGGTTATTTCCATCACGCAAAATTTATCTATGTTGACTGTGACAAGACAGATTGAAAGGACAAGGAGGACATGAATCGTTGTACGAGCTCTCGCAACTCTTGCCGAACAATGCTAAATATCTTTTTAAATTCCTCCTTATAGTCCTGTAAGTCAACCTGATATACATCATAACATCACATATTACATATAATTCATTTAAGATCTAGAAGTTCATGGTGAGCCTTAACTGAGTTATTATAAAATTCAAAACAACCAAGAATTTTTTATCGGATTGTTCTTTAGTATGAAAAAAATAGTATTGTAAGATCATAAAGATCATACATGCAACTTTTTAAAAAACCGCAATTGTTTAGTTCAAACTCATAATTTTGCGTTTGACATTATTCGTTGCAAATAATTATCATGAGAACATATACATCCACTGGCTGGAGTATAGATATAGCCATGCCTATATGCCACTTGTACACAGCATACGTAAAGAATGAAAGAATGTAAATAAACCTTAACCTTTCACTACTATTTAAACCAAAAAAAAGGACTAATTTTTAGTTGGTATATTTACATTTTATACACTGTTTACATTTTGAAGAGTCCAGATCAATTTTACGTGAAGTTCAATGTTATATTGAAAATGTTTACAAACGCCTTGACTCATGAAGATAATCGTGAAAGATTGTACTTGTTTCGTTTTAAAGTAAATAGTTAATAGTAATAGCTAATTTGAAAAATAAAAATATAATGAGGAATATATCTCCGAATGGAAAAAATGAAGAACGTGTTGAAAAAGTTATTTATGATTACGATTCTTCTCGAGAAGAATTTTCTACGGATAATTCTATTGTATGTTTAAAAAAACTTTATAATTTCAAAGCGAATAGAAATCAACCAAGAACAGTACCTCAGTCATTTTAAACCTATTAGAATAAATGTACGCTCCTTCAATACTATAGAATATATAGAATATATAGAATATAAAGAAAATAGAAAATAGAATATAATAAAGATGTATAGACGCCTAATAATTTGATTGGAGCAAATTACAGTCGAACCGCCATAACTCGAATTGCAAGGGACCGAGACATAAGTTCGAGTTATAGAGATGTTCGAGTTAGGAAGGGCGAGGTTCGACTTGTAATATGTATGTACATATAAAGATGATTTATGACATAAAAATATAAAAAATTAAAATTCAATCATAAATAGTTATAATAAGAAAAATATACGAGGTCTGTCCGAAAAGTATCGAGCCTACGTTTATATCTTCGAGCCATAGTGTTCAAGCGACCTCTACCGGACAGAAACGTCAACAGTAAAGCCTCACGAATCTATTGGTTACTTACTGACACCTGCCGGACGTATAGTTCATGCGCAGTGTGTCTTTGTTTACAGTGCCTTTTTCGCGTTCGTCGGATTTTGATATTGTCAAAAATGACTGAAAAACAAGATCAACGAATTTGCATCAAATTTTGCTTTCAACTCGGAAAAACGAGTTCGGAAACAATTGAAATGATGCAAAAGGCCTTTGGAAGCGAGTGTATGAGCAAAACACGAATAAAAGAGAGGTATAAACGGTTCAAGGATGGTCGCACTTCTGTCGATAGTGATTCTCGTTCCGGCCGACCTTCGACGACAAAAACCGCAGATAATATTGAGCGGATGCGACTTGCAATCGAACAAGATCGTCGTATGACTGTACGAGAACTAGAAGAAGACCTTGAGATACCAAAAACTATCATTTCAGAAATTTTAACCGAAAATTTAGGAATGAAACGCGTATGTGCGAAATTCATCCCAAAATTGCTCACAGCAGAGCAGAAGAACATTCGCTTAGAAATCGCTCTGGACAATCTGGAAATGGTCAATAATGATGATAATGTGCTTAGAAAAGTTATTACAGGTGATGAATCATGGGTTTATGGTTATGATCCTGAAACAAAATAACAATCTTCACAGTGAAAGCATTCTGAATCGCCAAGACCAAAAAAAGCACGTCAAAGTCGGAGCAATGTTAAGTCAATGTTGATTGTTTTTTTTGATTGTGAAGGTGTTCTACATCACGAATATGCAGCTACAGGTCAGACTCAAAGGACACCGATTCGATGACGAAACAACGGTTGAAAATAATGCGACGAGTGTACTTAAGGCTATCCCTAAAAGTGAGTTCCAGGACTGTTTTCGTAGTTCTGGGATTGATCCATGGGCACTGCAATTATCGATGAAAAGTAGAATTTTCCTTTTCTCTCTGGCAAACTTGCTATCTAACTTGAGGAGCCACTTCTCAAAAATATCGCGAGTCATTCATGCCTTATTGTTAGACTCATACTCGCATGGCTTCGTTTTAACGTTCTTAAAACATCGAGGATTGGCGGATTTCCCAATCGTTAGAAGCGGAAGCTTCTCAGTGCCATCAGAATTAGCTTCAACAAGAACTGTGATGCGAACTTTACTTAGCTTCCCACTGCTACAATTTTCTCCCTTGAAAGCTAGCGTTTTATTCGGCAAACATTCATAAAAAAGAGCCGTTTCGTCAGGGTTAAAGATGTCCTTGGGGTCGACACCTCTAATTTTTTCCAAGAGATTCACTGTCCATTCTTCTGCTACTTTCATATTGACTGCTGCATTTTCTCCACACACTTTTTTCACAATAATATTGTGACGATGTTTGAACGTCTGCAACCAACCATTACTCGCCTTGAAGTTAGAACAATCCAAACTGCTAGCGAACTCTTGAGCTTTCGCCTGAAGTATCGGGCCACTAACGGGGATCTTCTTATCACGAGCCTGTTTAAACCACTTCGTTACACATCCATTTAATTCCTCATTCGTTGTCTCTCGGCATATATTTCTACTCTGATTCGAATAATGTTGAATAATTTTATCCTTATTTTTTAGATAAGTGGAAAAAGTATTCCGAGGAATTCCAAAATCAGTAGCAATTTCCGACTTTTTCTTCACTCCTGTTGGAACTTCTCTAATCACAGCAACTTTTTCAGCTAAATTCAAAGTTTTCAAAGTCTTTTTAGTTGACGTGCTCAGAATATAAGTCATTTTGTAACTAGCAAAAAACACAAGGAACGTAGATAGAACGAAGATAAAAACTGAATTTAGACACGTACTCAACGGAAAACCGATGGAGACTGTTGCCTCTGCAGATTTTCGATTTCCTTTTAACGGTTCGAAGAATGGTGACTGCGATTGGTGTGGGGGAGGCAATGGAAACCAGCATACATCATGCAATAAAAATTTCAGTCATTCCAGCGACGACAAGTATGTATGTATGTAGAGCGAGGGTAGTAAAATCGTCAGAACAGTTTCGGGTAAAAACCCTGCGCCACCTGAGCATCGCAATTATGTCCCGCCAGTTTGTGGGAAATCCAAAGAATCGTCTATGCTCCAAAGTACGTGTGAATGAATGCCATAATAAAAGAAGGCCAGGTAAAGCAATAAAGTTAGGGCGACAGTCATTGGGAAAAACCCGGGGAAAGCCCAAAGACGGTCTGCGCTCTATTCACGTTTAAAGCCTATGCAAAATTATGATCTCGAATTTAAAAAGTTCGAGTTAGGGAGGTTCGAGTTCGAGTTATAGAGGTTTTTTTACATGTGTCAGTATAGGAATGTCAAGGGACTAGGGCAAGAGTTCAAGTTAGAGAGGAATTCGAGTTATGGGTGTTCGAGTTATGGAGGTTCGACTGTATATGGAATTTTCGCAAAACTAACTACCAAGGCTATTGCGCCATTTTTCTAATGAAGTTCAGCAAAAAATGTGGTATCAGCATGACGAAGTTCCGGGTCATCAAGTTGCCTTTGTTAAAAAAATGCTGAACCACATGTTTACAGGCAAGTAAATTGGTAAAAACGGACAAATTTATTAACCTTCAGAATCACCAGATTTTAATCCTCGAGATTTTTTGTGTGGGATCACGGAAAAGATTATATCTATAGCACAGAGATAAATAATTTAAAGGATTAGAAAATAGAATTATGATGGAATTTGAAAATATCACATCTGAGATGTTAGCTGTAGCAAGACGGAATTTCATACGTCGGCTACATTGCTGCATTGAAGTTAATGAAGAATATATTGAAAATCATCTTCGAGTTAGAAATTTTCATTTTAAAAGTAACATAATTATTATTAAAATTATACAGTGTCGTATTTCAGGTTAACACACTCTAAAACTTGTACATATTCTTTTTTTCAAACTTTTAGATTTCTATTTTCAGTTTTATAATTCATCTTTCATTTAATTTATTCATTTCT